GTGAAGGGTTTTTGCTTCAGTGTCAGCTAGTGTTTGCTAGCTCTCCCTCCTTGTTCCCAACCTATGCAGCAAAAATCACCTACACTGTTTCTGCACTGAAGGGAAAAGCTTTGCGTTGGGCGCAAGCATTTTTGGCATCACATTCCATGGAAACCCTTTCATCTCAATTGTTTGTTCAGGAATTTGAACGTGTGTTTAATCATCCTCTCCAGCAGTAGGAGGCATCCAAATGTTTGCTTTCTGTAAAGCAAGGGCAGAAATCGGTGGCAGAGCATTCAGTGGACTTCTGCGTTCTGGCAGAAGAAACAGGATGGGATGAATTAGCGCTAAAAGGAACCTTCACAAACTCACTCTCAGAATCCATTAATAATCAGCTTGCCTCCCGGGATGAGCCCGGGAGTCTGGATGAATTAATGTCTCTTGCCATAAATTGCCATCCGTATTGACAATAGACTCCGTGAACACAAAAAGGAAAAGGACTCCATTTCCCATAATCCCCGGAGCTGTAATTTCCATGCACGTTTATAGTCCCCGCCCGTGTGTCCAGTCGATCCTGAACCTGAGCTGATGCAGATCGGGTGGACACATTTGAGGAGCGACAGAGAAGATTTTCTGTTAAAGTTTGTTAATATTGTATTGTGGTAACAAGGGACATTTTGTTGCCAACTGTCCCGTGCAGGGAAAAGGACCGGCCCATCAATAGAGCAGGGGATCTTGCCGGGTCCGACGCCATTTTCCCCTGATTCCTTGCTGTCGTTACCTACCACTATCATCTCCGAACAAACCAGACTGCCAATTTCAGCCTTAGTTGATTCTGGAGCTGAACAAAATCTGATCTCCAGCAATCTGGTGGAACAGCTCAACCTCACCACAACTCCTTTTGACTCATCTTGTTCTATCGCTGGGGTAACAGGACAACTACTCACCCAAATCAATCAGCGAGTCTAAGCTCTTCATGTAATAGTTTCCGGCAATCATCATGAGTTTGGTGAATTTTTGGTTTTTGACTCTTCATCCCCACAATTGATTTTTGGTTTCCTGTGGTTGGTTAAGCATAACCCCATATTTAATTGGCAAGAAAAACGAACAGAAGCTTGGAGTAAATTTAGTTCCCTCCATTGTTTAAATTCTGCTGTCACCGTCTCTGCTAAAAGAGATGAGCCACTTGAGGAAACCGATTTGTCCAGAGTTCCACCCATGTCTCATGATCTGGCCCCTGTTTTCAGCAAACAAAGAGCTCTCTCACTTCCACCTCACAGGCCATGTGTTTGTGCGATTGAATTGTTACCTGATGCCCCTCTTCCCACCAGTCGCCTGTGTAACCTGTCTGGTCCTGAAAAGGAGTCTATGAAAACTTACACTGAAGACTCCTTATAATCTGGCATCATCAGACCATCCACATCACCTCTAGGGGCAGGTTTTTTCTTTGTTGAGAAAAGAGATAAATCCCTCAGACCATGCATTGATTATCGAGGCCTCAATCAGATAACAATTAAGACTAAATATCCACTTCCCCTTATTGATTCTGTATATGACTAACTTCATTCCGCTAAAATTTTTTCTAAACAGGATTTAAGAAACGTATATCATTTGGTGAGAATAAGAGAGGGGGATGAGTGGAAGACGGCTTTTAAAACACCCCTTGGACATTTTGAATGTCTGGTGATGCCTTTTGGGCTCACCAACGCCCCGCCGTCTTCCAGGCACTTATAAATGATCTTCTCAGAGATTTTTTTGTATGACTTCGTCTTTGTTTATCTTGACAATATTCTCATATACTCCCGTGATCAAGCCCAACATGAAAAACATGTCCGTATGGTCCTTCAGCGCCTCTGTGACAATCAGCTTTTTGTAACGCGCTGGGAGCCAAGGTCAGTCTTACCTCAGGGTATCACCCACAGTCAAACGACCAAACAGAGAGGTGTAATCAAGAGTTAGAGGCCACTCTTAGATGTGTCATTAACAACAATCCTTCTGTTTGGTGTAAACATTTACCTTAGGTTGAATATGCCCATAACTGTCACACCTCCTCTGTCACTGGATTCACACCTTTTGAGGCCTCCCTAGGTTATAACCCTCTTTTGTTTCCAGATTTAGAAACTGACATTCTGGTCCCCTCAGTCCAAAATCATCTGCGCCGTTGTCATCAGGTTTGGAGCCAAACCAACAGAGCCGTAATGAGGACTGCTCAGCAAAACAAAAGGCTTGCTAATTGCCATCGATCCTCAGCTCCCACCTATTCAGTTGGTCAAAAAGTATGGTAGTCCACCCATGACATTCACCTTAAGGATATGTCAAGAAAGCTCATGTACATTGGACCTTTTACTGTTGAAAAAATCATTAATCCCACTGCTGTAAGACTTCACCTGCCATCCTCGATGAGGATCCATCCAATTTTCTATGTTTCTCAGATAAAACCAGTTGTTGAAAACCCTTTATGCCCACCAGCCAACACCCCTCCACCCGCCCGTCTTATTGATGGTCATCCTGCTTTTACTGTTCATCGCATTTTAGACATCAGACGCAGAGGTAGGGGTTTTCGGTATCTTGTTGACTGGGAGGGATACGGCCCAGAAGAGCGCTGTTGGGTCCCGAGGTCTTTTATTTTGGACCCCTCTTTGATTTCTGTCTTTTACAGGGAGCACCCGGAGAAGCGACTTTAATCACCTGGAGACGATGTTTGAGGAGGTGGTACTGAGGCATTTGGTTGGTTCAGCCCGTTAATTGGTTGGCACCTCACCGCAGCTGACGTCAGTTTGGATCATCAGCTCTCAGGCTTTTTTAAGCCGGCCCTGAACATTGGGTCCTCGCTGATGCATCACTTGCTACTAAAAGACTGCCTCCTGAGTTACCTTGACCCCTGCCTCCCAGATCCTGGAAATTACTCGAGAGCTACTCACCTGATCCTCCTCACGCTGTCACCTGTCTGCCTCCAACCTTTAAACAAACCTGAAAATACTCACCTGGATTACTTACCTGGAACCCTCTGTGTAGAAAAGACTCCTCCGAGCTGTAAGAAATTACCTGTTTAATCACCTTCAAAATACTTACCTCCTTGGAGAAACTGGAACTGATCATTCCCCCTTCCTTCCACAGCCCTGGTCCAAACCTCCTGTCACCTGTAAATAAAATCACTTACCTTTTTGTATTCCGTCTCCTGAGTCTGTTTGTCATCAGTTTGCTCACGTTTGACTATTTACCTGAAAACCTGTCAGTAATACATGTACCAAATGTGAAATAAATAATACAAACTACTATTAAAAGTAAAAAGATTTTAACTTACAGTTGTTTAGGGGTTTGAAGGTGGGTGACTTGAGTCCCCTTGCTGGCCGGGTCAGAGCACTGTCGTTATGGGTTTTTGAACTTGCATTATTTTTCCATTATGCAGTGGCTTTTATGAATGCATCAGTTTTACTTTTTGATTGTTCATCATAAATCCACTATCTACTTTATTGTTGTACTACATGACATGAATGACAAACTGAACTAAAGTCATTTTTTTGTATTGTAAACAATAACTACCTTCTGCATCTTCTTCCTTCTCTGATATCTTCTTAGAGATAATTTGACTCTCTCTCTACCAAAGCCTCCAAATGCTTTTCCCTTCAGCACATTGTTGTCCCAAATAAGGCAGTGGTCATGTCTCCCTAGTGGTCTGGCTTAGTTACTGTTTGCAGTCGATCTTTTCGATGTTCCATGCATAATGTCTGTTATCCTTGGGGTAAAATAATTGTACTTGTAAATTTGTGATTCGTACTTGCAATGTTGTGAAGTTGTAACTTTGTAACTTGTATTTGTAACTTTTAAACTTGTATTCTCAAAGAAAACATTTTTGATTTTACATGAATTCAAATATCCATCCATCCATCCATTTTCTTCCGCCTATCCGGGGTCGGGTCGCGGGGGCAGCAGCTTCAGAAGGGAGGCCCAGACCTCCCTCTCCCCAGCCACTTCTTCCAGCTCCTCCGGGGGAACTCCAAGGCGTTCCCAGGCCAGCCGAGAGACATAGTCCCTCCAGCATGTCCTGGGTCTTCCTCGGGGCCTCCTCCCGGTGGGACGTGCCCGGAATACCTCACCAGGGAGGCGTCCAGGAGGCATCCTTACCAGATGCCCGAGCCACCTCGACTGGCTCCTCTTGACGTGGAGGAGCAGCGTGAATACAAATACAAATCTAAAATTTATGCACGGTTATTGACTTCCATGTACAAATTTAGACTCTTACATGTACAATTCTTTCTGACAGCTCTCTTCTCCCATACTCCACCTTTGTTTAATGGTGGATGGTTTTCTTCATAAAGATGGCTTCCTTTACTCCTCTCTCAAACCAACGTTCCTCTCTGTCAAAGATGAGAACATCTTCATCCCTGAAAGAGTGACCGCTGGTCTGTAGATGAGTGTAAACTGCAGAGTCCTGACCCGACGACGTAGCTCATTTGTGCTGGCTCATTCCTTTGACAGTGGCTGTTTTGTTTCCCCAATGTATAACTGATCACTGTCCTCCTGACACTTAACATCATATACTATATTACTCTGTTTTTGCCGGGGAACTTGATCTTTGGGGTGAACTAATCTTTGTTGTAAAGTGTTTTGAGGTTTGAAAGCCACTGGGACATCATGTTTGGGATGTTTCCATTATTTAAGATTAATAACTTCGGTCAGGGCAGAGCACCACCATCCTGCCTTCTGTATTCTCGATACATTTATGTTATTCTTCAGAACAATCTTGTGTTTTAAAAGACTGATTTAAATCTCAGATCAATTCAAATATTTTAACAACATAAATGATCCTATTAACAATAAGCAAACTCAACAGCTTTTGCTCAAATATGCTTTCAGTGAGTGCAAAAACAGGATTTTGAGAGATGGAACAATATTTATACAGCTTATAGCTATTTCAAGAAATAAAGGCTGTTTGGAGATAATTTTCTTTCTAAATCTGTTATAATCTTTATTAGTATAAATAAAACATGTTTAAACAGATAAAGCTTTCTTTTCACAGATCCATCCATTCTTGTTTTCACAGCTCACTGTTTTCCAGCCTTGGTCTTTGACAGAAATTACACACTGGCTGCTATTTGTAGGTGAACTTATCCAGGCACTGAAGAAGAAGAAGAAAAGGAAGTCAACAAAGCTGATTTATTTTTGTTTTTCAAAGTAAAAAAAAGTGTTATTACTCATTAGTCACGTCACTTCCATCGATCCATTTCCATTTTCCTTTTGCAGCTCTTAGACCAATCCAGTACCCATTAATGCCTGGTTTAGCATTACTGATGCCACTGACATGGTTCTGAGAAAAAAGTGAAAAAATGGCATTTACTCTAAATACTTAAATGAGCTACAACATAATATATTTTCAGCTTATATGATTTGTGAAACAGTTCTCTCATTACCTTTTCTGCTTCTTCAGCAACAACAGTAAGATATGAACTCTTTCCTCTGCAGTTTTCTCGTGCTTCTTCCCAACTTAACTGATCAGCAGGTGGAGCGTCATTATATGCATAACAGCTGGACTGGAAGGATGACCAACCGTCCTGACAAGCTTTACATGTTTTGTCTGAAATAAACAAACAAAAAATATAAAACAAGAGGTCACATGAATTTTTTAAAATAAATTATTATTTTTTTACATAAACTGATCTAACATACCATTTCTTTGGCGACAGTAGGTATTAATGCTCCACTGAGCTCGACTCACATTGAGCTCATTTGTAGGTGTTGGCATCGTTTCTACTTGATCTGTCAGGTTTTTGTTCTCCGTTTGCAGCTCCTGGACTTGTTTTGTCAAGTTTTTGTTCTCCGTTTTCAGCTCCTGGACTTGTTTTTTCAGCTCTTGCTTTTCTGCAGACAGATTTGCAGCTTATCTTATCATAGTACAATGTCCTTATCTGTAACTTAGTAACAATTATGTTTTATTACTTTAATTATTTATTTATTTATTTATTTATTTCAATTTAGTGTTATCAACCAAACACATAATTATTAAATTAATAAAAATCCTGTGAAATTACTGTGTTGGAACAACAACAGTACAAGTGAAAACAAGATAGAACTCAACGCAAACTGACGCTGATGTCCCCCGTCGCCATTCAGTGGTGACCAACTGTTAGTTTTGTTGTAATCATCACAGGCCTTCATTATTTAAATCATCTCATATGGTGAACAGACATACAGATAGACAGACCGACGGGAGGCTAAAGTGATCTTGTCAAACTACTACACAGATGTGTTGAGCAGGTCTCCCTGATGCCCACAAAATTTGGTGCAAATTGATTCATGTATGTCTGATTTAGAGCCAACCGTGTACAAACGGTGAGGCATCAGCATTCGCCACTCTGCCACACCCATGCCATCCCGCCACCAGTCAGTGTTGAAAGAAGCAAGCAGGATGTGAAGTCTGCATGTTCAAAGCTGTGAGCTCAGATACATGTGCAAGAAACGAGACAAATTGGCAGCTTTGATCCAAAATGGCTAACTTCCTGTAGGGTTTGGACCATGACTCCAAGAGACTTTTTCGTAGGTCCTGAGACGTTACACATGTGTACCAAATGTCATGATTCTACAGTAGATCAAAACATGGCTCGGGACTGTTTGTTTTAAATAATTGTGGGGAGGCTGTGGAGGAATTAAGAATGTTCAGATTTTCCAACTACAGTGTTCAACGTGTGAAACGGAGGAGGCGTTCCTCCTGTTGGTGGAAATGAGTCCTACACACTCAGTGATGATCCATCCATCCATCATCTATATACCTATAAATAGGATCACAGGGGTCACTAGTGCCCATTCAGCAGTCACTGTGCAAGAGGCAGGGTACACCCTGGACAGCTCGCAAGTCCATTACCACACATAGAGACAAACAAACAAACTGTGAGGAAGTTGAGTAACCAGAGAAAACCTACACAAGCACAGAGAGAACATGCAAACTCTACCTAGAAAGGTCCCCCAGGCCAGGATTCGATCCAGCAACCTTCACTTCAGTCACCAGCTCTACCAACTAAGCCACTGTGCCGCTCTTCATGATGATTTAAAATTAAAAGGTTTTGGGACTGAAAACAGGATTCATATGGATGTACTAGAGTTTATACAGTGAACGGAAATCTGCTGTAAAATAAAGTAATTTTAAATGCAGTCAACAAAATATATTTTGTTGACTTAAATTTTGCATTCTTTATTACAAAAAATAAAACAAATAACTGTATTCCAGATTTTCAAAATTTAAAACAAATTTTTTTGTACATAATATAATATTCTATTACTTTGAATAAATCTTCCTTGTTTCACATACTTACCATAAATAAAGACTCCAATGATGGCCAACATTGAAATGAGGCAAAAAGACATCAAACAAAAAGCCAACAACTGAAAGCATCTTCTTCTTCTTCCTGCTTCTTTTTCTGACAAGATTTCTCCTGAGTCTAAATTAGAAACACAGTTATTGAACCTTTTGTAAACAAGTTATTTTTTTAAAGATAACAGTTAATTATGACACGCTTTTACATTTTTGGCTCACCTGTTATGTCATCAGTTGGTTTCACTGTTTTATTGTGCAGCCTCACTTCATCATACACAATGTTTTCTTCGAGTTTTGCTGAAAGAGTTAAAAAGGTAGTGTTCATTTGTCACACAAATAAAGGCTAAAAGTTTTATTATTTAGCTTGATATCAGAATGATTCAGGGTTCTTCTCTACTCAGAATATTCTCAAGATCATATTTTTTCACAGACAGAAAAGGCACGACAGAGCAAAGATCTAAAAATGGGCAGGTGTTGCGAAAACAGGAAACGAACAGGACTGTGTTAGTGGCAAGTAAAAAATACTGTCCTCATATAACGTATATCAGAGAGAATTTTTATTTTAAAATCACAGCAGTATTTACTGGTTGTAGAAAATAAAATCAGACATAATGAGCTGAAGCTGAAAATGTGATTTTTAGACAGACTATTAAAGCACAATTCTTAAAAGTCATTCCAATTTAACTTGTACAATCAACCTTTTTAGATTTATTTTGTCTTTTTGGATGAGAATTAAAACAAAGTTTTTGATCCTCATTCCACTTTTTTTCCTTTTAGAACAACATCAGGTAGATAAACCCTGATGAGACTTATCACATAAACTAAACAGATGCATCAGTTGTTAAATTTCTTTCATTTATGCTCACAAAAATATAGCTTACCTTGTTTTTGGGGTTCCTTCCTCTTTTTGATCACCACTGAAGCATAGTTTTCCTCTGCCATATCTGCAGTCTGACTGCTAAATTTGATCTGACTTACTGACAGAAGCTGGCAGGTGATTGAGCTACAATCATAATTTAACAGAAGTGGCTGTTTCTTCTGCATGTGTCTTGAACACAGGTTCCGCTTATGACTTTAAAACCTAATTCCAAATATAGACTCTAGATATTAGTTTAGTTTGTGTCAAACAATTTACCAAATAACATGTGGTTTATTATTCCCCTAATGTGGTACTTTTTTTATCTCAAGTGTTTGCAATCTTTAAAAAAAAGTGTGATGTAGAAATACAAGTAGGTGAAGTTTCGGCCACAAAGCGAGACAGAAGTTCCTCTTTGTGTNTACTGGGGTTAGAACTAAATGAGTCCTGGGCTGATCTTGTACTGGGGTTAGAACTAAATGAGTCCTGGGCTGATCTTATACTGGGGAGAGGAATCAAAGTTGAACTGTAAAAGGAGGATTTTCGGCAGCATCTCTTTGATGTTCCGCTTTTTTGGCTCTGATCCAATAATATTCAGACTCTGTGGAATCAGTCAGAACAGCTTTGATATAAATTCTGTAGGATCGGTTCAGAATCGATTAAAAGGACAGAACCTCTCTCAGCTATTCCCCAGTGAGAAGCCACTGTCCATGGGAGCATTTAGGGCCCCAGGGGAAATACTGGGACCCCAGGGACCCTGTGCCCCGTGTTGGCTCTGCAGGAGCCTTTGTAACTCTTTGAACTGTTCCACTGTCTGGTCCTTCACATCAGGATGTGAGATCTGCAGCCGTATGCTCTCTGTGGACCAGTTCAGTTCTCCAGAAAACATCTCTGTCAAAATCCGAGCCACCACTGGAACCACCTGGACGATGATCAATTTCTTCTCTTTTGGTTTCTTGTCGGGCCAGTCTTCTCCAAAACAGAAGAATACCTCAAAGGGTGGTGGGTTTGGAGCTTCGCCCTTCTGGAACAAGATGAGGCCTGAAGAACAGAAGAATGTTTGTGAAACATATAAGAGAGAAAAGGAAACATTTGGAGGGAACAGACCTTGCAGGAACTCATTGAGGCTAAACACTTTGATTTTCCTCTCTCTCTCCATTGGYTTTGGTGGTCCCTGTTCTGGCATGCCTTGTCCAGACCAGAACACCTTGCACTGACAGAGGCGGATGGCATAGATGTCCTGTTCTTGTATCTCTAGGATAAGACCTCGATCCATCACATCCAGCAGGGCCTCCGTGTAGAARCGCTGCTTCTGGTTCTGGATCTCAGATGTGCCCGGAAACAGGACCTGCTGCAGAGTCACGGGTCCAAACAGTTCCACCTGCTCTGGAGTTGGTTCTAGGTGTCCATAGTAAAGACGACAGCCCTGGGGATTACTGACTGTAAGAGAGCCCACCATGCGCCCTCTGTATAGGAACTTCAGGTCCAGGTCTGTTACTAGAGCAACAAGAAAAGAGAGGATTAGATGTTGCTGTGGTTGCATCATCATTTCTYACTTTAAGAACCTTAAACCATGCCCTCTACACTCATCCAGGTTGGTGAAATGCCCAGGTGAAGCAGAAAGGCAGATTTTTAATCCTTCACAGCAGATTAGAACCACAGAAATATTCTGAAACAAGTAACCAACTTGAGCCTACTATAAATTGGACCAAAAGATCCAGGTATGAACCTTTACCTCCCAACTCAGACCTACAGGTCCACAGGCTTCTGTGCTTCAGTTTGGGTTTTTTTATCTTTGGTGTTTGCTGCTTTTATATTTGATTCAAACTGGACTGGAGCATGCTTAGAAACAGATTCATTTTAATAGTTGAAAATCTAAATGTGGGCTGCTCAGTGGTGCAGTAGGTTAGAAAGGTAGCAGGTTTATCTCCCAGGTAGAACCCTTGATTGGTTGTCTGTATCATTTGTCTCCTCATGTCCCTGTGGTGGACTTGTGACCTGTCCAGGTGTGACCCCAGGTCTTGTTTAGTGACTGCTGGAGATATGTAATCCTAAAGAAGTGTTTTAATGAATAGAGTCTTAATATGTGCATGCATTAAATCAGCTGCTTCACTAAAGAGTGAAAACTTTTAGAAGAAGTAGAATATTTACCAGGATCAACCTTTAGTTCTGAAGTATCAGAGGTTTACCTAAAAACACATCTAGGTTCTTTAGCTTCAATATTCAGAGCAACGCTTGTAGATCTCTTCTGTGCATTGGGGTTTTAGCAGATCCATTTGAGTCACTCAGACCATCTTTAATAAATTTAATCTATTAACGAAGTCAGACTCACATGGTACGCTGTTCAGCAGATCATACTTGCAGGGCTGGTGGTTCTGAGGGTCCGCCTGGTTCTGGATGATCCCCATGTTGCTGGTCTCCATTGATTCGGGCACTGGCTGAGCAGAGCCAGCTGTGGAGGGTAGTGAGTTCAGGTCCTGGAGTCTTCCAGGTGGACCAAAGACCTCCTGATCCACCATTTGACCCCGAGTCTGCAGATCAGGGGTCATTGGGAGGAGAGGCATCGGGATCACATGTGGAGGTGCAAATGTTCCGTTGCAGGATAAACCAAAAGAGGTAAAGGTTGATGGCTCACTGATCCGGGGATCTGTTGAGATGTTACATCATCAGCAGCAGCTGTGTTACCATGGAAACACCAATCAATACCTTTCACTTACTAATAGTGAGGTCCATCATATTTGGCATCTGAAAGGATTCACATCAGTTGAATTAAAGGACTCAAATCAGACCAAATATTACAATGTTGATTGTCTTTAACTCTCTGTGTCTTACCTCCTCCTCCTCATCCTCAGGTCCATCTGAAACAGAAACAGGAAACTGCATGTMGGTGATGCTAAATGCTAAGTTTTAATTAGTGACATTTAGTTAATTAGTTAGGGTGTCTCACCTGTGTTCCCAAGCAGCTCACACACTTCATAGATTTTGTATGGTTTCACTGGTGTCTCTTTGGTTCCGTCATATTTCAGCTGAAACTCTCGACTTTTGTTCAGAGCGCAGCGCAGGTTGGCCTTCCACTTGGCGGGATCAGGCTCATCCACACCCTCCTGATATTTTCCTGTTTCCACTGCCCACGCCTGTGAAACACAACAGGTTTCAAAACTAAGAACAAGATTGTTCCTGTTGATTCTGCTTCTACTTCATCACCATGCAGAAAATGCTGCAGCACATAATCCTTGAAGAAAAACCTGTGGTGGCTTAATGGAGCAACAGACAGGATTTTACTTGTTAAATGTGGGCGGAGACTGGCTTGTTTTCTGTCTTTATATGTTGGACCCAGGTTGGATCAGACAAGGAGCACACSTTCTGTTTGTTATTTTTATTTGTTTTGACACAACCTTTCAGGCTGACAAAAAAGATGACAGAAAAAACAGGAAGTACAGAGGAGTGAAAGAGGAAGTGACATCATGAGCAGCAGCCGTTCTTCAGAAAGTAAGAAATGAAACTTTAAGAGGAAGTCAAACAGAACAGGAAGTTCATGCTAAAGTAAAGCACAAACAATTATTTCATTTTGAGTTCAGTGTTTCAGCCACGTCCCAAAAACCTCTTGGGGTGGGGCCGGGGGCCTCATCAGGTTCTACCCTGAATCCAACATTCTACAAAAATAAAATCCCATCAAACCTTAAAGATGGTGTTTTCCTCATCTGACACGGGAGTGTGGCGGGTGGCGTGTTTCCAGGGGATCTGAAAAAGACGGTGGTCTGAGCTGAGCCACTGGAGACCAGGATACCTGCCTGTGTTCACCTGAGCCAGCAACCAGGGCTTCAGTCGAATCCTGCGGGGTTGGATGCTCATGGCTGCTTGGACTGGGAACTGCAGGGTGAGCAGAACGTGAAGAACTGAGAGCATGTTGGTCTTTGCACTGGAATGAGTCTAGTTTAAACTGGACCCAGTCTGGATCTATGTGGGTTAGTATGCTGATCTGAAAACTGGAACCTCTGGACCTCCAGCCTGAACAGCTCGGTTAGTTAGCTGGTTAAAACCAGTTGGTTAATCAGTTTAACTGGTTAGTTAGTCAACCTGAAAGAAAGAAGGGAGGAGGGTGGTCCCAAGGCAGGTTCTGCAGGTCAGGACTTACCGGTTCTGGCCCTGGATCTGACAGCTCAGGTCCAAACTGTCAACAAACAGCGGAGCGTCGGACAGGAAAGTGCAGAGAGGCAGGTAGACGACTGACAGCTCAGCTGCTGTCAAGCCAGATTAAATAAAACTACTTCCTGTTTTATAGTTGGCTCCTTTCAAAATAAAGGTTTGCTTATAAAGTTTTAGATCTAAATAAATAAAATGTTGCAAGTTTAAAAAAAATTACTGAAGCACTGAAAAGGTTTTATATGAAAATGAAATGAATAATTTTAATAATTGCTGGTGAACTTCTCAAGAATTTATTTTTAGAAATTCAGGTGTGTTTTTCTGGGGTCAGATTTATAAAGGATTGCGTGGAAACCATAATAAAAGTGAACGTACGGTCAAAAAGCAGAAATGTTTGCACACGAGGTCCCGCCTCAGGTTCTACCCTCTACACGCCCACAGTCAACCATTGCCAGTATCACTCCACCCCCTGTTAACAATAAGTGTTAATTAGGTGTCAACAATAGCCATGTGATGTGAGTATCAGTCACATGGAGGCAGGYCTTAAAAGCCTGAATTTAGCCTGAAACTCTCAGACTGAAGAAGTCTCTTGGAAGAGAGACGAAACGTTTCATTAAAGAAGAACCATCCAGAAGACCTATACAATTTTTTCTTTTTTCTTTCTTTTTTTTTTACCACATGAATGTTAAGATGCATTTTACGGAGCCCGCCGGGGGTCAGTGGTAGAAAAAAACAGCCGATGGAAATCCGTGCGCACGAATTGCTAAACTGAGCTCACGGTTTCTGCAATTCGTGCGCACGGATCACTGATATCTGGAGGGTGGTTGTGTGAACTGTCATTCATCAGATCAGAAAGTGCGTGAGGAGCGTTTTTTGTTCACTAAAGTCAAAGTACAGCACAGAAAATGTTGGACTTTGAGTTTGTTGTACAGTTTTTGTCCCTCTATCAGGCAGTTTTTGTACTGGGTCTCCTAAAGGCTGTTTCAGCTCTGATTGGATCATCACAAGAAGCCGTTTTCTGCCTGTGGTTACCGGATGTTTACAGTTTGCCTGACTACGGGACCGCAGTGAAGTTAGTTTCAGGTTGGATATTGGATATTCGCGTTCCGTGAATCAAGGGTTGTCTTCCTCTTGTCTAAACCGGTGAAAGCGGTCTGACGTCGGCCAGCAGCCCTCCGGCTGTTCGCTCATCCACACGCAGTGGTTCGCTTAGGGATCGTCAAATTACCGACCGAAAAATATGTGCAGGAAAAAAATTCAATAGCTTCCAGGTCATGTGACCCAGGCACATGAAACACATGTCAAACAGTTCAGCTACATGAGACACACAAGGCACACCCTTTAGTTTTTGATTTTATTGCTTTTACTGTTTTTGAGTAATTTTACGTGTAAAATTGAGGTTTTCTTTCAATACCTTCCAGATCATGTGACTCAGACACATGAAACACATGTCAAACTGTTCAGCTACATGAGACACACAAGGCACACCCTTTAGTTTTTGATTTTATTGCTTTTACTATTTTTGAGTAATTTTTAAGTGTAAATTGATGATTTTTCTTCAATAGTTTCCAGGTCATGTGACTCAGACACATGAAACACATGTCAAACTTTTCAGCTTGATGTAATACACTAGGCATACTCATTTTTATTTTTATTTTATTGCTTTTACTATTTTTAAGGATTTATTTTGTTTAAAATTTATGATTTTTCTTCAATAGCTTCCAAGTCATGTGACCTGTTGACTCAGAAT